GATGCCCCACTGATGAAATATATTATATCATGAAACATTGCACCCAAGTCTTGCCCCATCCACAACCTCCCAAGCTAACCTTTGCACCAGTTTCACCTTATACTTCTTTTTTCCCCTTATGTAGAGCTGCACTTAATCTCGTGTAGTTTGAGTTGAAGTACTTGACTCATGGCCTGACCGTAGGGTGTACGACAGTTTTTGGAAGCTTATTTTCTTCATCTGAACTACTGCTGCTATTTCCTGATGTCCATATTTAAGAGACAAAATATGCAGTGGGAAACTCATCAAAGTTCACAATAATAAATAAAAAAGGCATATCTGTGTGATTTAACTTGGTTACAATATTTAGATCACAACATCATACGACTGTGTGGTGCGAGGTATTAAGAGCACAACATCATCCTGTTCGAACTAGAGTACTATCTTGTCCCGTCTGATCTCTGTCCTTTTCAATGTAATAGCCTAAGAAATTAATAATATAACTTATGAGATAATTGCCAGGTCTCACCTCCTTTTCATCCTGTCAGAGACATGTCAAATTGCAGAAAAGACCTACATGAACCTGAACTAAGACAGTAAAAAAGAATGATAACTTATAATTTTAAGATATATCACTTAACGAAGCAAATTTGAGACCTCATAGTGTAAATTGTTAAACTTTGCAGGTACGTCGCTCCTGAATATGCAATGACCGGTCACCTCCTTGTCAAGAGCGATGTATACAGCTATGGTGTTGTACTCCTTGAGCTTCTCTCCGGAAGAAAACCCGTCGACATTTCTCAGCCTCACGGATCTGAGAACCTCGTAACCTGGGCAAGACCTCTTCTCACCACAAAAGAAGGGCTGGAGCAATTAATAGACTCATCTCTAGGCCCAAGTTATGATATCGACACCATGGCTAAAGTCGCAGCCATAGCTTCCTTATGTGTACATATCGAAGCATCACAAAGACCTTTCATGGGTGAAGTCGTCCAAGCGCTGAAGCTTATATACAATGATGTCGATGAAACTTGCGAAGATTCCTGCAGTCAAAGGGAATCATCGTCGGGCCATGGCCCGGAAGGAAGTTGGTGGAATGGAAGTAGTCCACATTTTGTGGACAATTATAACACCATGGAATATAGTTCGGGTTATGTAGAAGGGCTACAGAGACCCCATTCCGAGTCATTAGCAGGGGGGTATAATAGATCGGGTCCCTTGAGAACAAAGAAGCAAAAGTCTGATTTCTATAGATTGAGAGGAAGTGTGAGTGAACATGGGCATCAACAATATAGAAGATCTTGTTATGATGGGAGTTGGATTTGAGTGTTGGAAAATCTCTTTCCATTGTTTTTATTCTTTTCTTTGTTTTACCCTTTGCTTTTGTTTTCAAATGTATAGTTTCGATAGGTGTTTTGTTGTTGTTGTACCAGTGAGGTGTTTGCCATGGCATCTTAATTTTGTATGCCGTGATTCATGTGAGGGATGTTGGTGTTATTTCGTTGTACCCTGTGTTGTTATGGATGTCTTATTGAAGCTTACAATGCTAATGAGATCATATTAATCTCGTGATGTTAAGCTAGCTTTCTGTCACTAAATTGATTCCGTAGATTTTAATTTACAGCCAAAAGGAAAAAGACTATTCGATCCGTGACTTGTAAGATGTTATGGTTCTCCTACCCACAAAAATACAACGTATTTTTGAGTAACGAACAAATGTGTATTCGCAATTAATGCCCCAATCAAATTGATGACTCGAGTCCAGCAGAGGGTCCGACTTTGCCGACTAAACGAATCGATATTTTTTCATGACGACTCGAAAAGCGGTACTAGTCGACCCCCTTGTCGAAGATGACTCGTCAGAAGTTCACTCGGACCATTCATCCAATACCCCGCAAGACCGACTTGAAAGATGTTGCTTCTTGGTGAAGGCAAAGGGCTTTTTCGAGCTCATCCTCGCTAACAGCATATCAAGATCGCATTAAATACATGTCAAGTGCATCATACCTCTAGCCTCGATTGTCTTCATCACTCATCGGACCACGTAGGCCCTGCCACGCCGCCAATCACTTCCCATTTAGTTCCGAAGTGATCTTCCCTCCAGTCGCCAGCCGACACCTGTATAGCAGGAGCTGCCACAACTGTCAGCTCGCACTTCGCCACCGCCCTACTATACTCGCCAAAGTGACTTATCTACCCCTTATGTGCAGGGTATAAATATAGGTACTATTTGAACTGGCAAGGGGTTCACAAATTGGATTCTCTTACGCATATACTGCACAATTACAAGAACAACTAGTTCTTCTTTTACCCCACTCAAGTCATCAACTAACTTGATCATTGGATGTACAACGGGGGAACCAATCCCCGTCCTTTCACAAATTTCTACACATGATGGTTGTCCAGTAACCCCACTCAAGAACCAGATATAAAGTTATGTGAGAAAGCAACCCCTCTTTTAACATTAAGTAAAACTCGTCCACATACGGACACTATGACCGTGTGATCACATCAACATCAACATAAGATGATTGAGTTGTACTTATGGCATATTACACCAAGAACGAGGAATGAAAAATATAAACAAGGGATTTTTAGATACTTGCCCTTAAATATTCAATAATTACATATTAGTTCGTCAAATCCTAAAACTTGCTATTAGTTCTGGGGTCTTCCAAAATGGTCCCTTTGTTAGCATTTAAATTAAAAAAGTAATTACGGTTGGGTTAGCTACTAAACTAATATATGTAATCCCCAAATTACCCATGTCTTTGATGTTTCAAACCTTTTTAAATCTCTACTTTGGTTTTGGAGTTCTATTCTAACCATTGGAGAAGAAGAACTCTTCTAAATAGGTATTGGGTTTTAAACCCATTAAAAAATAGGCTAGGGGAACATAGTAGAGGGCTGAAACAACCAGTTTTTCCTCCAACATTTTGATTCGAGGGAATATCCCCCTTAAACATAATGCGATTTAAATTGACGGATCATTTTTGCAAGACCCTAAAAGATTGAGGGACTATTATGAAATATTAAAGATTTAAGGGGCTAATATGCAATTATTGAATATTTAAAAGGTCTAATATCTAAAAAAAACCATTAAACAAATGTAAGAGCTTCATAATAAAATTAAACATGTAAAGTTGAAACTCATGGTGTATTTGGCAGACCACCTAAAACTAGGTCAGGATTGGTCTTGACCTAGTCTTATTTCGAACCAAGGGAAAGGTGATCCAAAATAGAACTAGTTTAATGGCTAAATTTTGACCTGCAAAATCAGTGCTTGCTTTAGCATTGTTCTTTACAAAATAAGAAATCACTCAAAACTAGGTCAGCTCTAGTCACGTCTTTTAAAAAATAACCAACTGTTACAAATATGCCAGCTCGTATCTCCTTATTCCCCTAAAAATACTCTCACGTCTTTCAAAAAATAACCAAATACTACAAATATGCCAACCTGTAACTCCCACGTCTCCTGCGGTTTTTCCTTCTCCTCTACACCCAAATTATGGATGACCCCAAAAAAGTCTTTATGCACATACAAATGCACGTGATCAAATATCATAATTAAGTATATTTTAAAGAAAGTAGGCTTTATGCACGTGCAATACATCGCACATGCGGTCAAATATCATGATTAAATATATTTAGTTTATTTCTTTACTAAAACTTTATTTTGATAACATGTTTAATATTTACAGAAAATCTTTTAGAAACCATGTTTTGCATGGATCTAAACACTAGTGTGTGTATATATATACATAACGATATAAAAAACTGTTTATATGTAGATTAAAATTAAAATTAAAAGGTGGTTCAAATATAACCTATTATTCTTAAAGTGGGTTCTAGCAAAATGGAAGGACAAAAGCATAACGTCACGGGGTCGTGTGCAAAATATAATTTACAGTGGCCTTGCTGAAATATCGCTAACAAATACATTCGTTAGATTTGTTTGTTATTTTGCGAAAGCCATCGTGGTTATCTATGAAGAATGTTGATTAATTAATGTTTTATGTCGTTGTTGCTTTTTGGTTCAATTTCAGCAAACCCTAGGGCTCCTCTTTCTCTCCTCAGCAATCGGGTACGTTTCCCCTCTAATTCGAGCTCTTCTCGATCTCAATTCGTTTTCTTCATGAGGTAGTTTCCTACTCCTTCGAGAATTCGATTTCTCTTTCATTTAATCCTTTCATTCTTGCTCGAGATTTGCGATTATGATGTCCCCAAATGAAAAAGATCACATCTTGAGTTCGTTTTAGGGGCGTCTCGATACTTTATTTCTCGTTCTTTGTGATTTTTTTTTATCATCGTTAGATTATAAGTTTGGTAGTGTAACTTGGGATACACCCATTTGGTTTTAAAGAAAATTTCAGTTGAAAAAGAGTGCTATTTATGGGGAAAATGTAGATTATTAACCATAGAATTCGACTAATGCTCCATGATTTGTTGCAAGTACTAATGAATCATAATAGTTCAGCGGATAATAGATTTTAAGATTTGAGAATTTTACAGTGTTTGCATAGATTAATCTTATACTATTTTGTCTTGATGGTGTTAGAATATAAAACAATAAGTGTCAACCTGCACCACAACTGTAGCGTTTTGTTGTAATGAGTAGAGGGTAGGGGTGTTAACGGAGCGGATACGACTTGGATATGACACTTACCATATCCATATCCGCTTACCCATCTCGGATACGGATACGGATACAGATATATATCGGTAAGAAAAACTTATATCCATATCCGCCAAAATCGAATACGGTTATGAATATTGATGCGGATATATAAACGAATATGTATCCGGATACAAAAAGGATATGAGAAAACTAGATAGTATTTAGAAAAAATATAGTCATGTGCTACAAAAGAGTTCATTAATATGTTCATTATGATTGAAAAGCTAAGATTAGACATATTGATCATCAAAATTAACCACAAATCCATTATGATTGAAAAGCTAAGATTAGACATATTGATCATCAAAATTAACCACAAATCCATAATCTAAGAATCGAAACTATCGTAAGAGACATATTGATCATCAAAATTAACCACAAATCCATAATCTAAGAATCGAAACTATCGTAAGAGTATGACCACTATGTATTCGGATATTTCGGATACGGATACAAATATTTCACTACAAAACCATATCCATAACCATATTCTATCGGTTATAGATTTGAGTAACCATATCCGTATCCTAATGGATATGGTTACAGATATTTCCTCGGATACAGATACGGTTTAGCGCCCCTACTAGAGGGACTTTAAAATGGTATTAGAGTAACCTGGTTCAAATCCCACTGGCCATGAATTTAATATGGATTTTAAAAGAAAATTGATAACGCTGTGTGTTCAGGTTTCAGCCATGAAAGGGTGCTCAATCTGTGAGGACATGTTAGAATGTAAAACAATAACTCTCAATCCGCACCACAACTTCAGAGTCTTAGCCTAATGTTTGGTGGGACTCTTAGCAGATGGTAGCCATTTTCCGTTCTTACTTGTTGCCAATGTTACATTAACTTGACGCCCAGTGCTTAGTCGCCTAGGCGGGCGCCTAAGCGGTTTCTGGGCGTTATTTTTCTTTATTCATTTAAGTGGTGGTCGATGAGGTTTTGCTGAAGGTCGGAGGAGGTAGTGAAGGTGTTCAAATTTGGAGGTTAATGGAGTTTGGAGGACGTGTAGGCTACGACACATAAAATCACAATCAAGACCTACATGGTGCAATCCACGTAAGCAGACAATGCTCTCCTAAACGCTAGTAAAATTTAGGTGGGCAGCCTAAATACCGTCTAGGCGCTAGGCGTTAGTTAAGCGGCCCATGTACCGCCTAGGCCTAGGCGTACGCCTAAGCGGGCTAGGCGGAGGTTTTTTAAAAGTTAAAACAGTGCTTGTTGTGGTCATTCTCTTGTGGGTCATTATGGATGAAAGCCATTTGAAATATGAAAAATGAAAAGAGCACTATCTTCTATCTTTATAAATATTTTTGCTAGTGATTTTAATTATAATTATGTTATTGCAGAATTTGACTAAAACAATGAGTGCCCAGCCAAAGAGGAGAGCTGCAGAAAATGGGGAGACTGGAATTGACCCAGGACTGACCACCTTGATCAGCAATGGGGAGGATTTAGGCCCCATCGTAAGGCATGCATTCGAGGCAGGAAAACCGGAGGCCCTCTTACATCAGCTGAGAAATATCGTGAAGCAAAAGGAAGTCGAGATCGAAGAGCTATGCAAGCTTCATTACGAGGACTTCATAATTGCTGTCGATGAGCTTCGTGGTGTGTTAGTGGATGCTGAGGAGCTAAAAATCATGCTCTCTGGTGAGAATCTTAGGCTTCAGGAAGTGGCTAGTTCTCTTTTGTCTAAGCTTGAGGAACTTCTCGAGTTGTACTCTATCAAGAAAAATGTTGCAGAGGCTATTAAGGCATTGAAGGTTTGTGTTCAAGTCTCAAATCTTTGTCTAACATGCAATAACCACATCTCAGATGGCCGATTTCATCCTGCTCTCAAGACATTGAACCTTATCGAGAAAGATTACTTACATAAGATCCCTATTAAGGCCCTCAGGAGGGTGATTGAGAAGCAGGTACCGGCAATCAAGTTCCACATCGAGAAAAAAGTTACCAGTGAATTCAATGATTGGCTTGTCAAAGTAAGGAGCACAGCAAGGGAAATCGGACAAATGTCTATCGGGCAAGCTTCCTCAGCTCGCCAAAGAGATGAGGAGATGCGCGTTCGTCAAAGAGAAGCTGAGGAACAAAGTCGTTCAAAGGTTGGGGAATGTGTGTACACTTTGGATGTCGAGCAGACTGATGAAGACTCGGTTTTAGAGTTTGATCTTACACCAGTATACCGGGCTCATCATATATATACAATCCTCGGTATTGAGGAGCGATTTCGGGATTATTACTACAATAATCGGATGATGCAGCTGAACTTGGACCTGCAAATTTCCACGGCGCAACCTTTTCTTGAATCCCATCAGCCCTTTTTCGCCCAGATAGCTGGATTCTTCATAGTTGAGGATAGGGTTTTAAGAACAGCAGGTGGATTGTTATCTGAGACTCAGGTGGAGACGATTTGGGATACAGCTTTAGCCAAGATGACATCAATACTAGAGAACCAGTTCTCTAGTATGGATACTGCTAGCCATCTCCTTCTGATCAAAGACTTTGTCACTCTTCTGGGTTCTACTCTCAGACGTTGCGGATACCGGGTGACTCCTTTGCTTGAAGTTCTTGATAATAGTAGAGATAAATATCATGAACTACTACTTGATGAATGCCGAAAGCAGATGACAGATATCCTTTCCAATGACTCCTTTGAGCAGATGGTGATAAGGAAGGAGTACGAATATAACATGAATGTATTGTCCTTTCATTTACAAGCATCAGATGCAGTGCCGGTGTTTCCATATGTTGCTCCTTTCTCTTCCTCGGTTCCTGATTCGTGTCGGATGATTCGTTCCTTCATTGATGACTCGGTCAGCTATCTGTCATATGGAGGTCATATAAATTTCTATGATGTTGTAAAGAAGTATTTGGACAAACTCTTGATTGAGGTGCTGAATCAATCTCTTTTGAATATGATCCATGGGGGTAGTTTAGGAGTTACGCAGGCAATGCAAATTGCAGCCAATATAGCTGTTTTCGAGCGTGCTTGCGATCTTTTTCTTTGGCAAGCAGCTCAACGCTGTGGTGTTCCTGTGCGATTAATTGAAAGGCCTCATGCTGGTTTGGCTGCTAAAGCTGTGCTAAAGGCCTCACAGAATGCTGCATTTAATGCGCTAGTAAACCTGGTAAACACTAAGTTGGATGATTATATGGCTCTCATAAACAATATAAATTGGATAGCTGATGAACCACCGCAAAGTGGAAATGAGTGTATGAATGAACTTGTCGTCTATCTTGAGACCCTGCTGTCTTCTGCTCAGCAGATCCTACCTTTGGAAGCCTTGTATAAGCTCATCACTGGTGCACTTGATCATATTTCTGATTCTGTCGTGACAGCTTTTCTCAGTGATAACATTAAGAGGTTTACTCTCAGTGCTGTTATTGGCATTGACAGTGACTTGAAGAAGTTGGAAACTTTTGCAGAGGAGAGCTTTTACGATACAGGCTTGAGTGATTTGAAGAAAGATAGAAGCCTAAAGGATTGTTTGGTAGAATCTCGGCAGTTGATCAACCTTCTATTGAGCAATCAGCCAGAGAACTTCATGAATCCTGTGATAAGGCAGAAAAATTATGGAGCTTTGGACTATAAGAAAGTTGCCAGCATCTGCGAGAAATTTAAGGATTCACCGGATAGACTGTTTGGGAGTCTTTCGAACCGGAATGCAAAGACGAATGCTAGGAAGAAGTCAATGGACATGTTGAAGAAAAGGCTAAAGGATTTCAATTGAGGTTTTATTTAGGCCATTACCTCGTCTTGTTGTAGTGGTTAGGGTTCATGGCAGCTCTTTATTTTGTGTTCTTTCCATCTTGAAGCATAATGTCCCATTCAGATCAATAAAGAGTGGGATGAATGTTGCTATGTTTTTTTTAATTAGATTATCAGATGGAACAATTATTTGTTTTGCTTTCAAGGAAAAAGATTTTGTATTCAGGTGGCTTTACTTTATCCTATATGTCATCTAGATTTTATTATTATCAAGTATGTACTGATACACAGAAATGAAGGTTGGGGAATTTATGATATGCCTGCGGCTACAATCTGTACCTTTTTCTTTCCCTTTCTTTTTTCATAGTCAGAATGATACTTAAAGCTGAAATGGGAACTTAAGGGCTCCTCTTATCACCTTTGCACCAAGGTAACATTACTGATAGTGCATTTCTCTCTTTGGTTTATAACTTGGTATATGTTTTATACTGTTGAAGGTACTGACATTGCAAAATTCCTGATTTGTTTGTTTTCATCATGGACACAGCTATTTTGATCCGATTTCTTGAATGGTGACTTGATGGCCTACATGTTTTCCATGAAGTGGCCTAGTAGCTGTCTAGCTGATGGCGCTGAGCGGTATCTTTTGCTCTTCCCTGATTTCATGTGTTTCCTAAGTTGGTGCTCTGTTATCTTTCAACCTTTTAAGGAAAGCTCTGAAAATTGATGGTCAGTGACTACATGTGTAGCTTGAATTTTTTGTTCTGCAATTCTTTATGGCAGGGAGCTTGGATGGTTACGGATTCTGATGGCGAAAGAAAGCAAATGCTTATTTTGGGGCGTTATGTCAAGAATTCCAGAAAAGTACCACAAGCGCATACAAGAAGCAACAATGACAAGTAGAAGTTTCGTAACGTTTGTGCAACCTTTTACTGCTAGTATTTCCTAGTTGCGTTTTCCCATTTTTATCACATAAATTTACTTATTCATCACGTAAGTTTGGTGACGCATGGATGGTGACAATTAATCCTAGGGGTAGATTATAGCTATCGATATAATAACTGAGCGATGTGTTTTATTAAAGACTCCAAAATAAAGTTCTTTGCAAACACAGTAGCTCCTTGGAAGTGTCGCCTAGGTTTTGCAATTGCAGGTTAACTTTTTAAGTTTCATTTAGGACACATAAAAATGATGCTTTTCCCTTGTGGATAATTTGATTGCTCACCCTTTGCAATGTTGCAAGACATATTTGACAGTCGATATATTTTAAATGTTCAATGTTTTTTGTGTGTGTAATTGTACAGTTCTGGGGCGTCAGGAATTTGTAGTTAGATTAGTATTCAAGGTGCCATGGAAGCAAACTATCATTTAACACCATATTTTTCTAGTAGCAGTTATTTAATTACAGACATGTACAAACTGGAAGGTCTCAGGAATTTATCTCCATTGAAGCAGCAAAAGCAAAAGCTAAAGCAGGCGATAGGCTTCACTGACTGTAGCCAACAGCAGCTTTGCCCTCTTTTACAGCACTAAGAGATGGCGGCGAGAGAAGTACATAGTACAGCAACTCTCTTCAACTTCAACCTGTTCTTCTCTGAATATTTGAAGCCGAAGGAAACGTCTTCCTCTTTTGTCTGCATTTCTCGATGGTATCCCTTCGAAGAAGCTTTAATGAGATTGTTTACATTTCGTTGCTTCATTTTAAGCCTCGCGAAGGGAAGTTTATGGTGGTTTATTTTGTATGGATCCAGAAGCTTGAGTGCATGAGTTGCTTTTGTTTAAGGCTAGGATTTTGGAGAGATGTTGGTTTGTATTTACTGATTTCTTTGTTCATGTATGTACTAAATACTTTGACAGATATTGTGCTCCATTCCTTTTGTTTTAAGAGCCTTGTAAATGTTTATTGACAAGTGATTTTGGTGCATGCACAGAATTATGTTTTCACTTTGAAATTATGCATTAATGATGGAGCAGATTCTAATGAGTTGGGATGTCTTGACTTGTGCTGTTCAAATGATAAATGACAAATATTGGTTGTTTTCTATTAACGTATAGGGTTAATTGCAGAAAGATTCCCTGTAGATCTATTGGTGTGGATGTATCGCTTATGTTAAGTTGTTAAGACTCTTTTTAAGAGTCCAAAAAATTTTCCTCAGTCTATCCACACTAAGGGCAATAGCACAGCAGGTCTATCCGCAATCGGACGATAGTACAGATATAAAAAGATCTTTTTTAATGTTTTGAATTTTAGAAGGCTCTCTATTCTATATGGGTTTTTGCTATTTGTCACGCGGGATGTGCGCGTAGCCCATCTCGCATGACAAATAGCATTTTCGATTCTATATATGGTTTGAGTTTTAGGCTTGTGCTGCAGCATTAGCTGCAGTAAGTAAGAAGTCAGTTCTTAGATACTTTGCTTTCTCTATTAATTCATTTAACTTCAAATCTCAAGCTTTGTTTGGCTACTCTTCAAAGCCGGTCAAGTTTATCTCGTCCACAACTAAACCAGTTTGATAGGAAAAAGTTAAACGAACCAACTTTAAAAGATTTATCAAACATGCCAATGTTCTATTCATTTTAAAAATACTCCACTCAGTTATGGTGGTGTCTCATAGAACTCTCCTTAACTATTTTAATTCAAGTGCAACTTCTCTTAATTTTGAGGGTGTTGTAGATAACCCTCACGACTTTGAAAAGTCGATCTAGCCTTCTCTAAAATATGGGGTGGGGTGTCCTCGAAAATCCCTCCTGATCTCAACATTTTTTTTTCTAAATAAACCTACTCGATGATGTTACGTCAAAACACGAACCCATTTTAGTTAAAAAACCGATTAATTGCTTAAAAGAAGACCCAAACCCTACCTCTTTTTTCCGAATTCTATTTTAAAATGGTACGATGGTTGTGAATTGACAGCTCATTTAGCAAAATGAACTAAGAGAGTAAGTAAGGTCCATAACTTTTGATGTAACAGCGAGGGTGGGCCTCATCACATGCGTATCTCTTGGTAGCTTAGTTTACAAAATGAGCCGCCGCCTTATACTCAATTTTCCCTTTTAAAATAGATTTATGGTAATTTTAAAAATGAATTAGGGTAAAGCTAACCACAAATTAAACAAAATTCAGTTCTAAAAAGATTCTAAAATTAGAATGTGAGCGCCAATAAAGAATATTCAAAAGTGCAAATATAAAAATCTTCAGGTACACAAGTGTTGCAAAAATGGTATTAAAGTGCACAACTAGGAAAAACTATAAGGTACTCAAGTGCTAAGTAGCCTAAAACGTCCCCAAAAACTCTCCCCTGCTGTTTATTTCCGAATCGAAAACCCTAAAAAAAAGCCATAGCTTAATTGGCTATCCCCGCTCTCAATCCCCTTCGCGGTTCCATTTAAGGTAATTCATTGACTCTTATTCCCAAGAAAATCTCATCCTTTTCGTTTCGTGTTCTCTTCTTTTTTTTCTCTCTCTCTCTATGATCAGATCCCTGGACCTCTCACTGCTAAAATTCACACGATATCGGATGTTTTAAAAAAAAAACCAAATCGTTGGTTTTGGGAAACGAAGAGTACTCCAATGTCTAATAAAGGGTCTATCGGCAGTAATTTTTGGTAGTTTATATTACTTTTGATTCTTGTTATTTGGATGATTGTTTGTGTTCATTGTAACGTTTTTGTTGAAAACCTGAGGTACATTAATACATGTAAAGTTTTTTTTTCCCTGTAAAATCTTGGAGCTTTTCATTTAGTATTTCAAGAGCAGAAATAAAAATAAAAAAAAAGTTATCTTGTTTAACTATCAACTATTACAGTAGATTATGAAGAGATTCCATTGAAGTACCTATTACAAACACGCATATCACACACACTGAGCCCTTCTTCTTGGCTAAATTTCACTTTTGTGTGTGTGTGTGTATTTATGAGTTAATTCATTGTGTTGAGAAGATTTTTTGCAGTTCTATTTTATATATTTTCTCTCTCTCTTCTTTCTTCTTGTTTCTCATTTTATTTATGGCTCTTTTCTAGTTCCACTTAAATGGTGTGTTTGGATGGGGGGGTTAGATGATGAAAGTTGAATGAAATTTCATTTTAACCTTGTTTGGGAGTTTTTTTTTTTTCCTTTTTTGAGGGGTTAGATGGCAGAATGGAATGTTATATTTCTCTAGATTTTCCTCCCCCCTAGTTTGGGTGGTAGAGGATGCAATGGAAATTAGAGTAAAATTTCACATTATGGTAAGACAATTACACCTTTATGACATTAAAATAAATGGCTAAGATATGCCCTTATCTTAATAACATGTAAGGGTATTTATGTAACTTTATATATATATATATATATATATATATATATATATAAATGATATGAGAAAAAATAGAAGAAACTTGATAGCGCAAGTTGGCTCAAGCAACTTGATAGTGATGTTGGCAATAATCTTGCGCCCTTACATCACACCTCGTAAGATAGAGCCTCAATGCACCATTGCACCAACTCCAATGTAGATGTAAGGGGAACAAGAATTAAGGTCAGCATCAGCTACCAAAGTTGCTTGGAGCAACTTTGTAACCAAGTTTTGCTCCATTTCTCTCTCTCTCTCTCTCCTATATATATATAGTATAGAGAGAGAGAGAAATATGGGTATGCTTGGTACCGAAACACAAAAAAGTTATGCTTGGTAAGTGGAGGTGTGGCAAATGCTTGCTCGGACATCATATCAAATGTGGGGAACGAAATTCAGCATGGAGTAGTGAGTGGATGAGGGAATGTGACACAATCACTACAGGCACAAAATTTGTGGGCTTGTACGCAAGCGCATACCCATATTTCTCAATATATATAATATATAATACTATATATATATATATATTATATATATAATAATATATATATATATATATATATATAGGGAGAGGTTCTAATAAAAAGCCTCCTTAAGGCCTAAAAACTAAAAACCTCCTTCATCCCATTGGATCTAGATGAATCCAATTGGCCTGAGATTCAGTCCAAACAGTCAACAGACACATGCATTAATTTACCTTGCAACGGCAGTGAATCGCAGATTCAGCTACCTTCAAACGTATGCTCGAATCACTGCAGTGAAATCTGGATTCACTAGCGTTGATGTAATTATGCATGTGTTTAATAAGGTAATTAATGTATGTTATTATGTTGACCTGTTTGACTGAATCCATAGCGCATTGGATGAATGGAGGTTTTTAGTTTTTACGGCGAAGGAGGTTTTTAATTAGAACCTCTCCCTATATAATATATATACTAATATATATATATAGTATATATATATATATATATATATTATATATATGAAAATATGGGTAATGCTTGGTAGCCAGCACGAAAAGTTTGTGCTTGGTAGTGAAGGTGGCATACATCCGCCTTCCACTGCATTCAAATGATTGTATATTCCTCATGCACTGCCTCAACGCGCATGTGAATGTGTCCCCGCCATTTGAATGAGTAGAGGGCAATCATTTGAATGAGTGAGGGGATTGTGCAGCCATCACTAACGCAAGGCATAAGTTTGGGCTTGTCACTAAGCATACGCAATATTTTCTCTCTCTCATCTCTCTCTTGCTCATGCTGCTATAACTATAATATAATTATATATATATATATATATATATATATATACTATATAGTATATCATATATATATAATATATATGATATTCACTTCACTTCCCTCATCTTTATTAGAACTCCCAAACAAGGTAAAATAAATTTGTTTCAGTTTCCCTTACTAAACTCCCAAATATATTTTATCTTTTCACTCTCCTTTCCTACCTTTCCTTTCCATTATTTAACTTTCTAACCCTTCCTTTGTAAACTCCCAAACAAAGTGAAGTATAACCCAAATCATACTGGTTATTCTCTATTCTCTTTTGCCCCCTTAATTTGACCCAAAATCACCCCAAATAATAAAAATAATTGAACTGGTATATTAGGTTTTAAAGAGTCTTCTTTATTGAACAATTGAATCTATTACAAGGATGTTTCTTTTAAGCCTGTAAATGATTGGTGGCTTCATCTCTATGGACGGGATATTCTTTCAATTAATTTAGCCCCCATGTTTCTCATGACTTCTTCTTGTGTGTGGTTTAATCCTGGAATTCTTCATTGATGACAATTTTTTTGTTTTTAGTTATGTTGGTGGCTTTTATCATATTGATGACATTGAACTTTGCATATACTAACCGCGGGTGGTTATAAAGAGTGGTATTACCACATTGTTTGAATTAAACGCATTGGAATAGTTGTTGATCGTGATGGGCTCTACCGTAATTACACCCGATGATGTGCTTGAATCACTTATGAATGATGGAACTATCGATGCTATAAGATTGAAGATAATTAATCAGCTAAAGGCCAATGTGAGTGCATCTCTCCTCAGTATTAGTTTGCTATATAGTTCTTTTTTAGCAACAAAAATAAAACTTGTTCTGTGATTAATGTGATGACAAATTAGTAGCTTCTATTTTGTCTATCTGTATGTTTTGTATACACATCTTCTGCGTGCAATTCATATATGTGTGTACTGTGTGCTTCTATTTGCACCTGTATTTCTTAATGTATTGCATCACATGATCTCTTGTTTCTGCAATTTGCTCAAGGGTTTATATGTGTCGCTATTTTACTTCTCTAGCTAATAACTCGTCACTGTTTAGCAATATACTACTGCATAAAACCAAATTAATGCTCAGACTGCCTGATATTGGTATTTCATGACCGACAAAAAGAATTCAAGTCCTTGATAATTTGGTTCTCTATATGTCCATATCAGGATTCAGGTCACACTTCATTGTTTATAATATACATATGCTGTAATATACAAGTTTGCATTGACGTGGGAAATACACGACAGACCATTCAATCCAAACACTGATTATGATCTAAATGTCCCAAGCAATGTGAATATCAAGTTGATTGATAAATTAGTGGAGGCTTCATGTCTATTGGCAAGAAGCCAGTGAAGTCTGTCCTGATATTGCTTTGCATGCATCCAAGCCGAAATAACAACGTAGTGCACATCAAAGAAACATTGTAACGACAATGATAAGCATTTGATACAAAATGAAGGTACAAACAATGAAACTAAATTCAAGTACATTTGTAAAAGATACCTTTTAAGTTGTTGTATGGTATTACATGGGAAATAAGTCTTCTCATCTCAATCTGACATCTCCTATTTTCAAACCGTACATACTTCAGTCCATCCACTATCCAGTAGTCTTCGACGTAAAACCTGATCATGTCTTCTTTGCAGGCACAAGTAATTTGATGGCTGGTAAAATAGAATTTATCTGCTTTAATCATAGGTATTCGTTCCAATAGATGACGAAGAGAGTCCACTGAATTTGCAATGTTACTTTGCAATAGTGGCGGAGCCAGAAATTTTACCTTTGGGGGCCAAGCATCCATGATACATAATTGTTTCTTATTTATTTCATTAAAAAGGTTTTTTCAATATTGGTTCCTCAAATTTTAAAATAGTTTGAAATTGGTCCTTAGATCTCAAAATAGCTATTAGGTATTCCAATTCTTAAGGTATTTGAAAATTAGACCTTCAAATCATTGACATTGCTATTAAGTCCCCAGTTGTCATGATTAACTTGAAACAACTCATAAGAATTGGAGGACTTTTTTTTTGGGAGGAATAATTAATGGAGCATTTAATAGCTATTTTAGTGATTTGAGGACTAACTTAAAATAGCATAGAGAATTTGGAGGGAGCTAATAGCAATATCAATGACTAAAGGACTAGGTTCAAAATAATAAAGATCTAAGGCCTTGAGGGACTAATATGAGCAAGGACCTAATATGCAATTAACAAAAATTTTGTGGGGGGCCAAGGCCCCCCAAACTTTGTCTGTGGCGTCGCCACTACTTTGCGAACTTCCCTAGAATGCACAAAAAAATCTATTTCTTTGGATCTTTCATATTGTACTTATAAATTGTAATATGATGCAGAGCCACAATTTTTTTTACATGTGTATCTTTTTTATATTTATATTTATCTCAAGTCTTTTGTTTTGGTTTGTCACATATTGCGCCAAATGGGAGAGATGATAAGCTTTATAATTAATGGAGCAAGGACAGATTAGAGGTAGACCTAAGAGAACTTTGTTGGAAGCAATTAAAAGATACGATCGTGGATACCTTAACGGAGGAGATATCCCTAAACAAAACTGAATGGAAGGATAGGGTTCATGTAGCCAATCCAAAACCTGTAATAAAGTGCTTCATTTTGTTGTTGTCGTCTCTTTTTTCCCCTTTACAAAATTCTTTTTATGTTGCAAAGTTCAAATGTTTTTGCCACAAAATTTCTTAGTTGCTCCTTTTAATTTTTGCATCATCATGATGGCGTTATGCAGTGCAGTTGTGGCATACTAGCTGTTTTGTACATTCTACACATCAATAACCTTTATGGTTTAAGTATAAACAACAAAAGGAGTACGCACTCTTTCATTATTGTGAACAAGAGAACCCCCTTAACAATGAAAGAAAATCAATTATCCCCTCCAGTGGGTCACGTGTGCCAGCTTTTTCTATAATTAGAATACTCAAAACCTCCTTCGAGCTTCAAGATGTTTTATATCACTTAATATTTGTTTTAGGAGGACTTGAAGAAGAATACAATCACTATGGTGGAGCAGAGCAAGGTCCTTAACACCCCAGGTGCAGAAAACAAAACCAAGAGGGAGTTGTTTGATTCGCTTCGAAGAGAACTTGAGTAAGTATTTTATTTTATCCCTACTTAAATGTTCAAATTCTGTTATCAGGCCTCATGTGAGATGAATATAATTCTGTTTTTGAAGGAAAGCGTCTGATTTTATATGTATATTCTGGAAGAAAATGTGTGATGATGCTCGTCATATGCATCGGGGATAGCTTAAGCTTCCAGAAACATGCTTCCATTTTCAAAGGAAAATCTTTCCGGCGTCGACTCAATCATTGAAATTTTGCATCTTCGTTGATTACTATTTTGAAATCTGATGAGCAGAGGTTCTTATCTGACAGAACTTTTCCATATAACCTATGTTTTCTGTTATCATTATTTTGGTTGCCACAACCAAATTAATCATTAGAATCCTATCTTTTAAACAGGTAAAACCTGTATGCCTAATAAGGGATATAAGTATAGAACTTTTGGTTACTTGAGACTAACTGCAGATCCTTTTAGAGCGGAAGTTATGCTGGTGCAAGTAACTGGAGAATTATGTGTAAAAGACCAGTTGATCTGGAACCTCACATTGAACTATTGGAAAATAAAATTACAAATCATTTAAGAACCATAGACACTTCAAAGCGAGCCTTGCGTCTGTGTCTGGCATGTCTCAGATTGACACTCGCATGACATCTACCAGATACTCCAGAATCATTCAGGAAAACTAGAAACATTGCAGAGCCGCGTCCACTTAAAAAATTCTAAAGATTGCATGCTGGAACCATCTGTGGTTTCTAAAGATTGCGTGTTGGAACCTGAAATACCTCGCACACCTGATATAATGGAATAATATTTTAACAAAACTGAAATGCCTCGGCCAGGGAAGAAACTTAATATTAGGTTAGCATAGGACTGGTTGTTTATTTCTTTATCAATTTAGTTACCGCGTTAGACGCTAACAATTTAATGATTCAGTTGTTTTTTTTTCTTCTCCCAAAATTTCAATAAACAGTATTCTGATCACATAGGTATTTTGTATTACATATACAAGTATGCACACATATCAAGTCATGATGTTGATTTCCAGTATCTTACGTTTTATGTCTTGTATTTTAGTTCATTGTTCCTATCAGATCCTTTTCTTTTAAATGTCTATACAATTTTAACTTTGATTAACTTCGTATGCTACCAATACATTTGCACTTGAATCTATGAAATATTACTAAATACTAATATACCCATACATATGGGACCTAAAAAACTAATCCACATTGGTGGAAACCAATAGTTAAATTCTTGGTTGTTCACTAGGCAAATGCTCATTCTTCAAAAGCACCTCAGCTTCATCTCAACCTGTTTGTTTTGTGACTTCACGAATAAGCATGAATCATGATTTCTGACTTTTGACCTCAAGATGGAACTTTTTGCAGAGCTCCAGTACTCGAGAAGGCTTCCAAGGCAGTATGGGAGTTGATCCTTGATGGAAATGGTCTTGGGAAAGAGGTCAGTGAAACTGTAGAGAGGGTTTATCGCAAGCTAAGCGGCCTTGATCTCCCAATTCCACAGAATCAAACTGCTATAGTTGCTCAGCCAGAGGGTAATAAAGGATTGGAGAATGGAAAGTTGACAGAAACAGAAACGCCTAAGACTTCTGCGAAGAAAAGGACCTTTGGAGAGATGAGCAATCAAGAGGGAGCGGAAGCACTTGCCAATTGTTCAACAGATCAATCTGCGGTCGTAGTGGAAAATGGCACGGCCTCTGGGACTAATCGAAGCTAATCAATTCGGTTGTCTATAATCAAGAAACTACGCGATGGTTCCTGTACTTAGGATCATTTTATGTGTTACATAATACATACTATCGATCCTTGGATCAATGCTGAGCACGAGGATTTCGAGATTGACGGTTGAGCTCAGGATCTTCTTGGTTGACAGTTAATCAATGTGTACTTCTATGATTTGTGTGCAGGGTCTAATGTAACCGGTCGATGAACTTCAATTTTCCATTATCATGCACGCTCATTAACTTCAAGTTGCCCGCATTTTATAAGTTGAGGTTAAGCTTACCAGTATTTAGTTTTCTAGGAAATTTCCCCCCCTCCCTCCTCACTTTTAGGGTGATAGTTCTCTCTTTTTTGGGGCTTTGAGGATATTGACGAGGCTTCAAATCATTTTGTGTAAGTTAGGACCATGAAGAACTATCATTTTTAAGTGCGGAATTAATTTGAGTCTTTTAACGGTTGGATATAAGGTTTATGACATCGCAACCCATAAAAACATCTCAAATTAGCCCCCATCAAGAGGAACTTCATTAAAAGGTGAAGAGGAGGCATGGGATGAATTAAAGCTCTTATATAAGTTAGAGGGGGAAAAGAGCCGTTGTTTCCACACAAACTAACCGCTAGAGAAGATGAATAGTGTTCGTGGGTCAGGTCTAGAGGGTTTATTGGGTTTAAGTGGGTTCGGGTGTGAGGTTTAGCCGTTTCATGGTTTTAAGTTAACTTTAACGGAATATTCCCCTCTGTTTCTAACTCAAACTAACCATAAGGCTAATATCAATATACTTACGCAATTTGGGGGACTAATATCAAAATATGAAGATTTGGGGGACTAATATCAAAATAGGAGTGATTTAAGGGACTAATATCTAAAAACCCCTTAAATTTAGTGGCAGATGTAAAAATGGGGTTCAGAGGTTTTTTTTCCCTTTCAGTTTATAGATACATAAGAGCATCAATACCCCAAAAACCCAAAATAGTATGGTTTTTGCACTAAATTGGTGTTGTTTTGACATCAAATCACTATTTCATCTCCAACCCATTACACCAAATTTTACACCAAAAAAAAAATTCCTTTTATGATTCTTATCTTCTAAATTTTTATCTATTTAAAATATTTAACAAATTATATATTATATAATTATATAATGCATTACATATAATTAATTATAATAATATATTTTATGAATAAAATACAAATATAAAAAAACAAAATCATCAAACCCAGCACCAAATTTCTTCTCCTCAGTTTTGAGCTGAAGAGACCTCCGTTTTGAGAGAAGAAACAAGCCCCAAATCCCCCAATTTCTTCTCCTCCTCTTCAACATTCTCCCTTTTCTCAAACCCAACAAGCTTCTCCTCTTCCCTCTCACCCCCAACAAGCTTCGAAGCCCTCTTAATCAAATCATCAAACACTTGAAACAGTGATGCGCCAAATCTGGCGCAACACTGTAGCACATCATCAAAATAGCGCTCGGTTGGAGAGGTGTTTGGCGTTAGGTTTGCGTCATTTTGGGGATTTAGCGTAGGGTTGGAGATGCTCTAAGTCTAGATAAAACTTTCTTTTTTAATTAATTGATTGATAAAACTTTATGGTTTTAAAATCAAGGAAAAATTGCTTCAAGGCCCCAAAACTAAATTGTTGATGTGTCTCAGCCCCTTGAACTTTTTCTAATGTGTTTTTTCCCCAAAAATAAAAAATCCATGTGAATCAGCCCCATTTACAATTTCCAAGACAAAAAATTCCCAGACTACCCTCTTCTTCTTCTCCAGATCTTCTCTAGATCTACTCCTCTTCCTACAAACTCATCTCCTCTTCCACCCTCTCTCTAACCTCACTCGAAACCTCCAACATCGCCGCTACCTCCGTCACCCCTGTCTTTACCTCGCCAGGGGGTTCTGCAAGAACGACAACAGGTACAAGTCCCTCCACGACCTCAACGAGGAAAAACTCGACGCCGCCATGGCCTCGACGCCGCCACCATCGCCAGGTTTCTGTACCCCCTCGGGCAGCTTGCCGATGTCCCCGTTGTCGCCCATGAACCAGAGGTAGGTGAACGGCGGCTGGCCAAGTTCTTTTCTTAGGCTTTCGAAGGTGGGTTCTGTGGATTTTGATGACTCGTTTTGATTTCAGGGCGGCTGCGACGGCGGAGCTGATGCTCGCCGGAGATGAGAGCAGGTTCATGGGCCAATCGAGGATCGACCGGAGTTTGATGTCACGACCTCAACGAGGACAAGCTCGACGCCGCCATAATGGCCTCGCCGCCGCCACCACCGCCAGGTTTTCGTACCCCCTCGGGCAGCTTGCCGATGTCCCCGTTGTCGCCCATGAACCAGAGGTAGGTGAACGGCGGCTGGCCGAGTTCTTTTTTTAGGCTTTCGACGGTGGGTTCCGTGGATTTTGATGACTCGTTTTGATTTCAGGGCGGCTGCGACGACGTTAGGGGTTAAAACTGATTTGGGTTCTTGTTATTTTCTATAGTATTTATGGGCCAGTTCAAGATGTGAGGATCCCCTAATCTCAACATGTTGGGGCTTGGATGTATATCAAAATCAAGAAAGAAGTAATAAACTCAGGGTGTGGTATATATAAATGTTGTACAAATTTATGATGGTGATTTTTTGTGTCTGCTGTTGTTTGTTGTCATGTAAGCTCCAGTTGAACTGAGAAGGAGTTTGATGTTGTTCTCTGTGCAGTAACTGTTGTGGTTAGCATGTTAACTCTTGTGTTTAACATGTTAACTCTTGTTGATAACATGTTAACTCTTATGGATAACATGTTAACTCTTGTGGCTATATGTTAACTCTTGTGGATAACATGTTAACTTTTATGGATAACATGTCAACTCTTGTGGATAACATGTTAACTCTTGTGGCTATATATTAACTCTTGTTATAGTTAACATGTTAACTCTTGTGGATAACATGTTAACTCTTGTGGCTATATGTTAACTCTTGTGTTAACTTTTGTGGCAAATATATTAACTATTGTGTATAACATGTTAACTCTTGTGACAAACATGAGTTATAGTTAACAGACAGTTTATGAATAACAGTGAACAGATAATTCATTACAGTTAACAGTTTATAAATAACTGTTAACAAATAATAATTAATAGTTCATATAGTTAATATTTTAACCACAATATTTAGCATGTTAACTCTTGTGTTTAACATGTTAACTCTTGTGGATAACATGTTAAATATTGTGGATAACATGTTAACGGATAATGGATCAATTTACCAATTAAAGTTAACTGTTATTTCAGTTAACTTTAATTGGTAAATTGATAATTATATTCAGTAAACTTTTAACTATAATCCATTATCCGTTAATTGTTATTTGTAATCTATTATCCGTTAACTGTTATTTCGGGTCATATACACGTTAATATAGTTCTCATTTAACATGTTAACTATAATACCTAGCATGTTAACCTTAATTGGTAAATTGATAAATATAACTGTTAACTATAATCAATTATATGTTAACTGTTATTTTTAATTTGTTAACTATTAATTATTATTTGTTAACTGTTATTTATAAATTGTTAACTATAATGAATTATCTGTTCATTGTTATTCATAAACTGTCTGTTAATTATAATTCATGTTTGTCACAAGAGTTAACATGTTATCCACAATAGTTAACATGTTTGCCACAAGAGTTAACATATAGCCACAAGAGTTAACATGTTATCCATAAGAGTTAACATGTTATCCACAAGAGTTAACATGTTAAACACAAGAGTTAACATGCTAACCACAACAGTTAACTGCACAGAGAACAACATCAAACTCCTTCTCAGTTCAACTGGAGCTTACATAACAACAAACAACAGCAGACATAAGAAATCACCATCACAAATTTGTATAACATCTATACATACCACACCCTGAGTTTATTACTTCTTTCTTGATTTTGATATACATCCAAGCCCCAACATGTTGAGATTAGGGGATCCTCACATCTTGAACTGGCCCATAAATACTATAGAAAATAACAAGAACCCAAATCAGTTTTAACCCCAAACAACAATTGTCAAACCATCAAAAAGTTCAAAAAGAAAATTTCCCGTAACCTAAAATAATTGGAGACATCCTCTTCTCTGAAAGTGTTATCATCAGGAAAAGTGTTATCAAACCAACAATGACCACAATGCATTCCCAAAATCCCACCATACAATTTGCAATATCAATAACAATCAAACCGCACAGAGAACAACATCAAACTCCTTCCCAGTTCAACTGAAGCTTACATGACAATAACAACATCAAACTCCGGTCGATCCTCGATTGGCCCATGAACCTGCTCTCATCTCCGGCGAGCATCAGCTCCGTCGTCGCAGCCGCCCTGAAATCAAAACGAGTCATCAAAATCCACGGAACCCACCGTCGAAAGCCTAAGAAAAGAACTCGGTCAACCGTTGGTCACCTACCTCTGGTTCATGGGCGACAACGGGGACATCGGCAAGGAAAACCTGACGGCGACGGCGGCGGCGAGGCCATGGCGGCGTCGAGCTTGTCCTCGTTGAGGTCGTGGAGGAACCTGCACCTGTTGCCGTTCTTGCAGAACCCCCTAGCGAGGTAGAGACAGGGGTGACGGAGGTAGCGACGGTGTTGGAGGTTTCGAGTGAGGTTAGAGAGAGGGTGGAAGAGGAGATGGGTTTGTAGGAAGAGGAGTAGATCTAGAGAAGATCTGGAGAAGAAGAAGAGGGTAGTCTGTGAATTTTTTTGTCTTGGAAATTGTAAATGGGGCTGATTCACATGGATTTTTTATTTTTGGGGAAAAAGCACATTAGAAAAAGTTCAAGGGGCTGAGACACATCAACAATTTAGCTTTGGGGCCTTGAAGCAATTTTTCCTAAAATCAATTAACCAAAAGAGTAGTAAGTAAATTGAATATACTATAGATGCTGTCCAATTTTTTAACGAGAAAAAAAGAGATTTTTTTTAAAGAAGGAGAAAAGTGCTTATGAAAGATTGATAGATTAGGGTTTCTACATTACTATAAAAAAGAAAACACCATCATCAAAATCCCTTAAAATTCTGCCTAAATACTAAAAACTCGGTGAGGCCACCCTAAACCGCACCAACGGTGACCACAACCCCTCTCCTCCATTAAAAAAATCGCTACTCGACCCACAAAAATGTACGGATTCCCACTCGATCGCGGAACGAGAATCCCCAACAAAATCAAGATCAAAAAGAAAACGAGGTCAGCAGTGATGAAGCCATCGCCGTCATCTTCGCTGTACAATCAGGAGGTCGACGAGGGGATCGTGTCGGCGGTG